GCAAGCATGTGGTCTGCGCGGTCTACAGTTGGCCCTCTACTTATACATTATAGCTTTCAGCTTAAGCTTAATTTTTTTTCATGGCACTCCTGAATGTGTGAGCAAGTGGGTCTCTGATTCTCGTGCCTTCTCTTGGGACACCTGGCGGCCACCCACATGATGGTTTGCTTTGTCCGACTGTGGTATGATCGCTTTTGTTTATCTTACTGCATTTTACTCTGTCATCTTTTAGAAGAAAGCGGGGGTAAATCCAGATGAGAGAGGAGGTGGTGAAGAACTGGGAGGGGTAGAGGGAAGGGAGAACAACCAAGATACAGTTACGGGAAAAGAACCTACTTTAATAAAAGGAGGAAAATACACAGACAGAAAAGCAAAGAATAAGGACAAGTCAAGGAGATATGAAATGGAAAAATGATAATAAATAATTAGCTGGCAAAAAAAAAAAAAAAATTGCGCCCATGTTCGGATGTAGCCTCGTCCTCTTGGGGGCTGGTCTGTTCCTGATTCCCATTTTATTCTCTGGGGAACCTCACCTGCCCTTCCCGCTAGAGAAGATAGTCCTGCCTGATACATCCCTGCAAACTCAGCACTAGGAAGGTGGAGGCAGGAGGATTAGGAGTTCAAGACCAGCCTGAGCTACATGAGACCTTAAAAATAAAATTAAAAAATCAAAGAGGAGAAATGAGTAGTCCTAAGAAACAAATACATCAAACTCTACATCAGCACATTTGCTGACATGACTTTCCCGTACAACATTGTGTTGTTTTGTTTTGTGTTTGAACTCTTTTGAGGGCCTGTCATCTAGCTCCCAAAAAATACACAGAGAAATATTCTTATGCTCTCCTGGCCTTAGCTTGGCTCCTTTTTTATCCAGCTTTTCTAACTTAATTTATTCTTTTTAACTACTTTTTGCCTCTGGTCTTTTTACCTTTCTTTATTCTATATATCTTTCTTTCCTTCTTACTCCGTGGCCATGTGGCTGGTGCCTAGTGTCCGCCTCTCCTCCTTTTCTCAATCCTCCCTGCCAGCCCTGCCTGTCCATCTCCTGCTTTGCCGCTTAGCCCTTTATTAGACCAATCAGGTGTTTTGGGCAGGCAAAGTAACACAACTTTACAGAGTTGTTAAACAAATGCAACATTAAAAAAAATGTAACACATTTTTGCACTATTAGACAAATATTCCACAGAATAAAAGAATGGCACGTCTTTAATATTCCGCAGCACTGCGATCTGTGAAATGAAGAATTCTAATGACTTTGGGATTCAGAATCACGATGACTCCTTCTCCTTCTTGATCATTTTTCTAGCCTTCTCTCCTTTCATACAACACCTCCTTGATCATTTTCTATCTTTTCGCAGATTATAGGTTTTGCTCTTCTGTGTCTAACAAGCATCAAGAGAAGTTGTGCCAGGCTGTTGGTAGGTGCTTTCAATCCAGCTATTCAGGAGGGTGGAGCAGAAGGATGGCATGTTTGTGGCCAGCCTGGGGAAAAGGTTTTGAAATCGTGTCCTGAAATACAATTATAAAATAGCTGAGGATGTAGGTCAGTAATAAACACTTTACTTAGCGTGCCTAAGGCTCCGGGCCAGTTCCTCGGCAAAACAAAAATCAGGCAAATGAACAAGTGCTTAGACCAAGTGGCCTTTTTTGAGGTAGGGCCTTATATAGCCCTTGGACTCCCTAAAGTAGAGGAAATGACTCTGAACTCCAGATGCCCCCCCCACCAGCTTCAGACTCCAGTTGCTGGAAATACAAGCATGTGCTATCATGCCCAGCTTTCGTGAACAATTTTTGGATTTGATACGGGAAAATGTCTTGTTAAAGTATAAAAAAATTCGCTTTTCTTTCTTTAGAATATAAACTTTCACATCTTCAGGTGTTATGTAATGGGTGACTCCAAAGAGAGTTTTGACTTCCTTAATACAGGTGTGTCTCAAAACTTACTGCTTCTTAACTCCTCTATTTCATGCCTGCCTTTGACTTAAGATTTCCTTTAGGTGTCTTCAGTGAGGTTATCTGTAAACTTGATCTAGATTTCTCATCCCAGTTCATGTTTCCTAGTGGGTGAAAGGTAACAGTCCTGCCCAGGACGGAAGGACATGAGCCAAGGCTTGGTTCAGCCTTTGGAAGTTTAAGACAAAGAACCGCTCAAGGGCTCCAGGTCAGGTACATGCCAGATCTCTGACATGAATCGCCCATTTGTTCCTCACATGGAAACTTCACAACAAACAACCAAGACGAGAGACAGGTTTAATGAGTTGCCCAAATCACCCACTCAGCTCGTGAACATTGCAGAGCTGGGAGAGAAACTCAGATTGTCTGACTATGAAACCTGTGTCCTTCCTGGGATGTGGAAAAAGAAAAATGGAAGGCCATCCTCCCCAACATGGCAAGTTCCAGGCCAGCCTGGACTACATGATACTCTGTCTCAGAAAACAAGACAAAGAAACAAAACCAAAAAGCTAATTGGGGCCAGCAATGTGGGCGAGGGCTGTCCTTGTCCCACATGCTTGGTATCCTGAATTCAATGCCCAGAACCCATGGAAAGGGGAAAACAGAGGACAGACTCCACAGAGTGGTTCTGTGAATTCCGCATGTGCTAGATCAAAAAATTACAAAATGAAACAAAGCAGGTGAGCGGCTTGCTAGCCAGCCTGTCTAGCTGAATTGGCAAGCTCCGGGTTCAGTGACGATAGCTGTCTCAAGAAAGAAAAAAAAAAAAAAAACAATGTAGAGAGTAATTAAGACATTCAAAGTCAACTTGTCTTCCATACACACACACACACACACACACAATTGTGCACCTGCACCGACACACGCACACACACACAATCTGCCTAAACGGTGTGAAACCACGTTCCTGACTGCAGAGTGTTTCATATTTTCTAAGAGTTCCTTAACATTAAAGTGTCTCAGTGAAGTCCCAGCTTGTTTGTTTTTATAAGCAATGATGTCTCTTTTAGCAGACTGTGGAACTGGCAAGCTTTCCAATGAGCAGATGGTGCCATCTGCCCATTGCAGTGCTGAGAAAGATATCTGGGGCCAGGCGTGACACTTAGCAGGTGCTCCATTGTTGAATAGATGTGTGTTACTGATGCCATCACACGACCAGCTAGCTGGACTCTTTCACTTTTTATTTTTATTCTTTTGGGTTTTCTTTTTTGACTGCTAGAGACAAGGTCTTGCCCTGAGTTCAAATCATTCAGCTTTTTTTTTTCCCATTAAATTTATTTCTTTATTTTACATCCAACCACAGTTTCTCCTCCTCTTTTCCTCCCATTCTGTCCCCTCCTCTCTTCCCCCAATCCATTCCTCCTCCATTTCTGTTGAGAAAGGGGCAGGCCTCTCACCGGTATCAACAAAGCATGGCATATCAGAGCTGCAGTTACATGCTTTATAGTTAGAATTACACTCACAAAACAAACTTATGAACCTCAGTTAAACATTTAATGACAAAGAGGAAGTATCTTTCAAGGCAAAATAGTGTCTTAGCAACAGTACAGGTAGTGGGAAAATTTACTATTTAATTTTATTTAGAAGCAAGATGTCCCTAGATCCCACTCCACCACCCCCCTCCCCGGCTAGCCTGGAACTTATTATTTAGACCATGTTGGCCTTGAACTTGTTAAAATTCTGCAATCTCTGCCTCCAAGTATCCAAACTACAGATGTATGCAATCATATCTGGCTACAAGTTAACTTTATATATTTTCATTAGTTTGAGACTTTCTTAGGGCCAGAGGTCAAACCAGACAAATATTCTACCTCTGAACCATACTGAAAATACTTCTAGTGGACTGTTATCTGACTTCCCTGGGGAGATAGAAGGGAAGCCTACTTTGGAGAGGTAAGCGAATTGGTTGGGGTTACAGGAGCCTGAAGGACACACGGTATCAGATCAGCTACACCCCTGAAAAGTCTCATCCCCACTGAGTTTCTACCTCCTACATTCTTTAAGATTCCTAAGATTATATCTACATGTACAGGAGGGAGTAGTGGTTGAAATCTCAGGAGAGGGCCGGGGTTATTATGAGCATCTCATGACTCTAGCCGTACAGCAAGTGGGTTCCACTTCTGTAGGGCTAGCTAGCCGTGCGCTGTGTAGTCCTGTAGGCCAAGGTCTCTGCTAGATCATCAGAGATGCTGTGCTCACAATGGTGACTGTCCTGGGGGTGCGTAGTAGGTTATGCTCTTTTTCTTGTGGTTTATAAAATGTGTGCACCTCACATTCCTAAGTAAGAAATTTGTTAATAATGAGTATTTTTTGAAGTTTTTCTTCTCTCTTTTTTCCTACAGATGAGCTGTCAATGGTGGTCATAGACATCCGGGCTTTTATTAAACAAACTATTATCTTTTAAGTATGATGATTCTAGATCTTTGTTACATTATGTATCTGTCGAGGGAAGGGGACATGGAGGGGTTCATGTGCGCCGTGGTACATGTCTGGTGGTCTGAGGATAACTTACAGGAGTCAGTTTTCTCCGTCCATCATTTGTGTCCTGGGAATGAAACTCAGATCTAGCTGAGCGGCAAGCATCTTTACCCACTGAGCTATCTCACCTGCTCTTAAGCAACGCTTGCAGACTACTCCAACATTTGCCATGCATATTGACTCATGCCTGGAGTGTCGGTGTGGGGCAGGCACACATACTATGGGCACACGTGATTAAATGAAGCTGTGATCATCTCACACAGAGAGCCCAGTGTTCATGTACAGTGAGGCGAGCGATCACTTGGAGGGAACACTGGAGCCAGCAGAACACTATAAAGAGAGCTCAGGTTGGGGGTGAAGTCGGGGACTGTTCCTCAGAGGAGGTGGCTTCCAAATTCTTCTGTCATGTGAGAAGAATTTGGGACTGTGTGTGGGCGCTCCACAAGTGCACATGGCGTTTGTGTACTCTCTTCCTTGGGACTTTTACCCCTGTTGGCTGGAGTCTTCTGACTTTATCGCTCTCTGACCAGCATGCCACACATTCTTCATGGGTTGTTTCTTGTCCCTAGTGTCCAACAAGCACCCGTTTGTGGACAGCAACCTCCTCTACCAGTTCAGAATGAACTTCCGTCGGAGGCGAAGAATGATGGAGCTGCTCAATGAAAAGTCCCCTTCCTCCCAGGAGACACACGACAGTCCCTTCTGCCTGAGGAAGCAGGGCCACGACAATCGGAAATCCACCAGCTTTGTGTCAGGTATGCTGGTTCCGTTGTGGACACATGAGTTTTGTCTTTTGAGAAATAGTGGAGAGGGGCTGAGGATGCGGCCCCTTTGGTACACTGCATGCTAGCATGCAGAGCGCCCTGGGTGTAACCCCTTAATCGGGAGGTGGAGGCAGGAGGGTTAGGAAAATCAAAGTCACGCTCCACTACAGTGTTTGAGGTCCATGTGGATTACAGGAGACCTTGTGTTAAAAATGTACACATGCCTTCAATTCCAGCACTCTGGAGGCAGAGGCAGGTGGATAACTGAGTTCAAGGCCAGCCTGGTCTACAGAGTGAGTTCCAGGATAGTTAGAGCCACAGAGAGAAACCCTGTCAAAAAACAAACAAGGAAAAAAAAAAGAAGAAGAAGAAAAGCATCTGGACACTCTCATGCATATGCTCATACACACACACACACACACACACACACACACACACACACACACTCACTCACCAAATACAGAAGTGTGAGATGTTTAAGAGTATCTCCAACTCCTCTGAGAAAACTTGGCATTGACTCAAGGGACTTGTTGCCTTAAATTTCAGAAGCACTTGGTGGGCGTGGGGCTCTAACTTGTCATCCCAGTCATTGGGAATGGAGGCAGGAATTCAAGGTCAGACTTGGATATATAACTTCTTGAGATTCTGCCTCAAAAGGAAAAGAGAGTAAGGAAAGGGAGGAAGTAAAGAAGGAAGTGGGCAGGAAGGAAAGAAAATACGCACTGAGCTTAACTCAGCACAAAATGGATCTGTCATGTCTTGCTTCTGAGCAGGGACTGACAATAAGGACATGTACCTCTGTGGATAGTGACATTTCCGGGTTTCAGGCTTGGCTACATGAATTGTCTCACTTAATTCTTACTGTAGCCCTAAGGAAAGATTTTTCCTATCCCCACAGTCCAGAGCCTTGGTGTGGCTTACAAGTGGTGGATGTAGCTTCCTCTCAGCAGTTCTATTTTAATCTGCCCCCTTCTGAGCCCCTTTGTATCCCAAAGGCCTCAAACGCAGCCAGGTTCAAACTGAAAATGAAGCAGGAACTGCTAAGTAGAAAATCAGCCCAAGCCTGTGCTTCAAGGCCATGGTGGAGACACGGTCTCTAGTCTTCCGCAGATGCCGAGTGGCAATCCATGCTTCCTTTGGACAGAGGCTTGCCTGCTCCTTGGAATGGTTCAGTAGAGTTGATGTGAGGAGAATAGGTTAATCTACTCCCATAAAGCCGTCATTAGTTGTTTGCTTGTTTGTTTTCTTTCCATGAGCTAATCAGCGGCCACAGCAGTCTCCGTCCGTACTTTCCCTCACATACAAGCCTTCGGAGCCTATGGCAGGCAGAACCAAATCTGCAAACTGAAGCTTGAAAGCCTTGGTATAGGCCGTTTCAGGCTTTGTCTTCCATGCTCCCAAATGATGGCTTGCTGCCACTAAGTCAGGAGCCGTTTACTACCACTGCATAATAAGTGTCACATATATCCGGTACGTTGGATTTATACCCCGGGAGAGGAAGCTTGGCTTGGTAGTTTTTAAATTCTCGTCCTGCATGAGCCGGGGAGATGGCCCCATTGGTAAAGTGCTGAACATTCAGGCATGATGACTCAGATAAAGGGCATGTTAAGATTTTTAAAAAGAGAGAGACAAAAAGGTATGTATCTATAATCCCAGTGCTAGGGAGGCAGAGACAGGATAACTGGACCTTGCTGGTTAATCTAGCCGAATCGTCAAGCTCCAAGTTCAGTGAGGGAAATCTTGTATCAAACCATAAGATGGAGAACAACTGAGAAGACTCTGGATATTGACCTCTGACCTCTACATACAAGAATACACATGTGCCTGTGTACATACAACATATACACATGAATATGTACATACACCCTTGAATACCTCAAGACAAAATACCTCTTAACCAGCCACAGTGGTGTGCCCCATGATTCCAGGACCGTTATAGTTGAGACTAGCCTGGGCTCCATAACGAGCACATACATTATGTTACCTTTTCCTCACGTCTATCCCGTGGAATAATAATATTCCATTGTACAGTCCAGGAAACTGAAAGGCAACGGCCTGGTTTATGCTATCTGCAACTATGTGGGCAAACTGGGCATGGCGTTCTTACTTTGCAGCTGAAAGCTCAGGAGTTCTGGGCCTGCGACTACTGCTCAGTGACTGTTTGCCTCCCCCTCTGCAGTCAGTCCCAGCAAAGAGATCAAGATCGTGTCTGCTGTGCGGAGGAGCAGCATGAGCAGCTGTGGCAGCAGTGGCTACTTCAGCAGCAGCCCGACGCTCAGCAGCAGTCCCCCTGTGCTCTGCAACCCCAAATCTGGTGAGTGAAAGAAAGAAAGGCAGCCATGTGCCTATCTGTGGACTCCTCTGCCCATGCTCAGGCTGAGTTCCTTGGAAAATAGAGATCAAAGGAGCAGGAAACTCACAGGTTAATACCTGTTGAGTAGCTGGGAAAGAATAGCATGTGGGCTGTGATGAAGGCTACTGGAAGTCTACTGTTGACCCATAATGCACTAGGGTGCCCTACAAAGCTGTACAGAGTGACTCTGAGAGAGCCAAACACCTTCTGGTTGATCAGTTATTCAGTGTTGATGCCCCCAAAAGGAATGCATGACTTTGCTCACGACAGCTGCCTTCAGAGGGATGGCTCTCAGAGTCAGCTGCTGATTGTCCAACACCAGCAGCTGCAGTAAGCAGCTGAGAGGGGGTCCTTGGCTTTCAAAAGGCCCCCAGCAACTGCAAATTCAGTATAGAAAGAACTGCTTTCCTAAATCATAGCAGGCAAGGATCTATGTGGACCTTGTGCTTGCTTTATTTATTTATTGTTTGTTTACTGAGACAGGGTCTTGATATGTAGCTTTGTCATGTCTGGTATTGGCCTTGAACTTCCCACAGTCTCCCTGATGTTTGCTGGGATTGCTGCCATGTGCCACCATGCTCAGTTTCAATGCCTAACACTCATAAGGAAGAAGGGTGGGTATATATAAGCCTGCTCATTGGAATTCATTGTGGTCTTACAGTTTCAAAACCTGTTCATCAGCCTCCATAAGGACTTTGAACCATGGTAAGGCTGGTTAATGGAAGCTTTTAAGAAACAGCCTTAAAAACCCCCAATCAGGGTTCAAAAGAGATGCTACAATAAGCAGGAGTAAGGTCTGAGGGCTAAAGGAACGGATCAACCCACATACATTTTCTTATCATTCTGTCTCTTTATTCTTCCAAAATATCTCTCTCATCCCACAAGATTTCCAATTTACATACCCACACAGACACAATTAGCAATTCTCTGGTAATATTAAGGTCACAGGCAGGTATTTCTCAGGGTCAAGAAGACAGATATGGCTGACAAAGTGGGCGCCTGCTATCTCCCATTATGTCTCTAAGGGGGCGTGGCTGTGAAGCACCTGGGCATATCTAAAAAGGATCAATAGAGGAAGGGGCTATGATTTCTAAGAGGGGAGAAAGGGGGTTTATGTGTTAACAACATCTGTGTTGTTAGTTAAGCTAGACGTTTGTAACCGGTAAATGTAGGAAAAGGGAAGAGACCATAGTGGCAGCACTGTGCACTCTGTGGGTACTTCTGCTTCCTCGGCAGCTGGGAATACATCACCATGGCAACCATGGCAGCCTGAGTAAGCTGCTGTGGGAGGAAGATGGGTGGTGCTCGGTCAGCATTAGCATTTTCACCAAATGTTCGCTGACTAAAGGGAACCTCTCAACACTAGAGATCACATCTAAGGTTGCTAGATCAAAGGGAAGAGACTGTGGCTATGTAGTGTAAAATCCAAAGTCTTTTATGCTTCCAGCCTCTGGCTAAGCGGTGGGGAGCTTGTTCCCACTGACACCCAGATGAGAAGGGATTTCCTTTCTATGGGGCCTTTTCACGAATTCAAGACACCCAGTATCAAGATTACACAGCCAAATGAAAAGTCATCCTCCTGACTTCCCACAAATGTATGTGCCCAGTAGATGGAATGTTTTCACGAGATATACACACAAGCGGTGGAAAACACCCAAAGCTAATCTTGGGGAAGAAATGAAGTGACTCATGAGAGGAATTACAGACAGTAGCAACTGATTTCCACAGTCAGCGACTCCCCAGCCTTGCGAGGTGGAACTCCCTATCACTCATGTGGTAGGTTGGCCTGCTGACTATTAGTTAACCTGTTGTACTTCTCATGGCTCTTGACAGCTGGCAAGATGGCTTAGAACATAAAAGTGCTTACCATGCAAGCCTGACAACCCGAGTTCAATCCCTAGAACCCTCAGAACCTGTGTAAAGATGGGAGAAAAGAACTGACACCACAAAATTCTCTGGCCTTCACACATGTGCCATATCGTATCTGTCTATCTCTGTCTCTCACAGACACACACGCTCCCTCTAATAAATAAGAATATTAGCCATCTCTATGTATCAGAATAATATAGATTTAGTAGTAGATGTAAGTATCTAACCTCACCACTCTCCCAAAAGAACAAAGCCATAGCTCTTACCATAACCCATGGTCATGGTGATGAGTAAGAAGGAAAACTGTGGGATAATTCTCACAGATTCTCAAAGTTTCTGTTTTCCAACACAACAAAAAGAAAACGTCCATTAAAATAAACAGCCAGCCCTGCTGCCAAAAATATCAATTTTCATAACCCCCAGAGGAGCTCACGGGCATGGAGAAGAGCTTGTCTGCTGAGCAATAAGATCTCAGCCCTAGTACACTCACTATGTTTCCTACCTCCTCTCAGTCTCCTGAGACATCCATTTGTCATCTTGATATTTGACCTACTCCCTCATCCTTTGCAAACACTGATTCATTTTCAAAGCTTTCTAAAAAGCAAAGGCAATGATCCCAACCACCTGTTCCCCTCACAAGAAGCAATTCTTGGTTCTTCACTAGGAAAGTGCTCCTTAAGCCTGGGGCTCACCCAGCAGTTGGGGCCAGCTGCCTGGGGATCATGCAGGCCTGTCCCATGCTGCTGCACACTTGTTGGGGACCAGTGTCTGACCTCTGAGTGAATGCCACTGGCAAAGGGAACTCTAGGTAGGTACGTCTCCAGATAGGACCCTCGCCCTGGCTCCTTTCATTTTTTTGTGACATGTATATCTCTGCTGTGCGTGTCTCTAGGATGGCCCCTATGCCCGATACCCACTAGCTGCCCTGGGAGGCTAGTACAACCTCCTTTCCAGTTCCAAAGGATCAATGAACAGAGAGGGAAATGAATGACTAGAGGATGGATGGAGAAATTCATTAGTAGGGGGTTTTCATGCAGCTGTCTTGATGCCTTAATAGACAACAGCAGTAAGCTGAGAATAGACAGACAACACTCCACATTGGTGTCTTCCAGAGTTTCTGAGACAGCACAGCACAGGAGGACAAGAGGCATTGCTAAAAATTTGGGTCCTGGAACTCATTCCCGAGTTTGATCCTCATTTTACTACCCATGCTTTAGCTATAGGATCTTGAACACACACAGATTAACTTTTCTGAACCTGTTTTCTCACATATAAAATCAATGGCCAAAAATAAGAAAGAAAAACTAACTTAAAAGCCATGATACCAAGTATTATATCTTCAAGTTTTAAGGCCATCAGACACTTCTGTGGCTTTAGAATTTTCTACTATGAGTTTATTGTACCTAATTTCACTTTCAAATTAAGCAAGCATGGTGACACACAGCTGCAATTCCAGCCCTGGAGGCTGAGTAGAATTAGAATTGCAGTGAGCTACAGGCCAGCCTGGGCTACATATCATGTTTGCAAGACCCTGCCATACATACATACATACATACATACATAGCAAGACCCTGAAGTAAGTAAATAAATAGATAAGTGCCTGAGCTACATATCATATAAGCAAGAGCCTGTCATAAATTGACAAATAAATAAATAAATACGATTAGTGCCATGATGAGCCAGACTCTTTAGTACAGTGGTTCTCAACCCTGCTAACACTACAACCCTTTACTAAAGTTCCTCAGGTTGTAGTGACCCCCAACCACAAGGTTATTTTTTGTTGCTACTTCATAACTGCACTTTGCTACTGTTATGAGACCTAATGTTTATACCTGATATACGGATGGTCTTGGGCAACCTCTGTGAAGGACCGTTCAGTCCCCAAATGGGTAGAGACCTACAAGTTGAGAACCATTGCCTTAGATCATTATCTCAGGTAGAGATTAGATAAATAATGAATGTGACAGGGTGCAGGGAAGTGAGGGGTCCAGCCCATGGGGAGTACTGTGCTGGCTCATGAGAGCTTGGTGCATCACCCTTATGTTTCTAGGTTATTTACTAGAGGAGAAAATGGTTAGTAAATGGGTTGTATGCAGTATGTGGGGGACAGGGAGTTGGATGGAGTCATTATCGGTAGCATGGCTATTGGACTGCTGGAGTTTTGACATATATAGATACAGATAAGGACTTAGGAGAAAGAGCTGGAACAACTAGGAGCTTAGCCTTTTCCTGTATAGGAAGACTCCACTCCTCCCTTTGTCCCCTCCCAAGGCATCTTAGTTGCTTTTCCCTGACTTTTCTCATCCTCCCTGCATCTCTGTGGTTCCAAAAGTTAGGTTTACGCTCTTGGCTGGTTTTTCCTGTCTGCTCAGCTAAAGGATAAACGTGAGGTGGAGGACTTTGCCACTTTTATTGATTAGCATTCAGGAAACACCCACTGAATGACTAGGAGAAGAACTTAGAGCTGTATATTCTCTGACGCTATGTCTGTCTCTTAGTACTGAAGAGGCCTGTCACTTCTGAGGAACTCTTGACTCCTGGAGCTCCATATGCGAGGAAGACATTCACGGTAAGCCTAGCTCCTGTGCACACCCACCAGTCAGTGTACAGCTTAAAAACCATTTTTTTTTTTTTTCCATGTCTACGTATATTTTAAAACACACTATAAACCTTTAGAGGTTTTTCTTAATATGAATCTGTCTTTACTGTAAATCTTTATCTTTGTCTGGCCACAAGTCTTTTATCTGGTAAACAACAACATTGTTAAAATGAAAGTCTTTGTTGTTTCTGCCGCGGTTATCAAAGATGGCGGCGGGTACCTTTACCGCCAGCAATGAAAGCTGTGGTCACTGCCCTGGTCAACACTGCCATCCAGAAGGCATGCTGCCAGCTTAGAGATGTGGTCACTGCCATTGCCATCTCCATGCATACCAATAAATTGTTAGCAGTGCTTCTTAAAAGCCGTGCGGATTTTTGCCACTTATGCTGAGTCAGGAACCTTCCCTTAAAGGAGCCGCGCGATCTGCTTGTGTCTTGCAAGTCAGAGTCCAACTGAGAAAAATGCTGTTACCAAGAAACCTTGCTTGTCTCTATTCTTTTGTTTCTAAAACCCTTTTTTGAGCTTTTGTTAAATTTTAACTGTAAGTTCTTAGCCACGTGGGTGCCATTTGTAACGAATACGGGTTTTTCTGCCCGCCGCCTGCTCTTGTTCCACCGCCACGCCAGCCCCAATTAATACACTGAGACTCTGTACTAGATATAATTCTGTTGGCCCTGTTACTTGTTTCTTATCGGCTACCTCTGTCTTAATTATTAACCCATTTGTGTTAATCTATGTATTTCCACGTGGTCTTCTTACCCGGAGCCGGCTGCTGCGTACTGCTCTCTCCAGACTCTCCATCTTGGCTCCTCCTTCCTACTTCCTTTTTCCTCCTTGTCCCTAGTCCCTCCTATCTCCTTTCCTATTGGCCAACAGTGCTTTATTCATTAACCAGTACGAGAAACATATACAGAATGACATCTCCCATCAAGAGAGTTTCGATTGGCATATTTCTAAGGATGCCTCTGGAGCCATCCAGGGAACCTACCTGCCTGTTCTGATTCTGTAGGAAAAGGTATCTTTTCATGCCAAACGATGTTTGGACCAGAGTCTATTTGTAAATTGTGAACTTTATCTTTCTCATTTGGTTTTCTTGGTACGGAAAACTCTTTCAAAAGAGGCCAAGACTCTTCCTATCTCCTGTCATGGGTAGTTTAAACTGCTCTTCTACACTTCCATGTAGCCAGGTCAAAGTCTGTGATTTGGATATGAAGGAAAGGTCCATTGCTGAGGTAGACCTTGAATTCAGAGAGAACGTGTAGATTTTAAGATCTTCAAAGACTCCCGCTGGGGTGTGGTATGAAATCGGCTGTCAGCACAAAGAAGAAGCATGCTGCCAGCTGTTTAGTGGGGAGTGACCTCCCTGCTACAATCAGGCCATGTGTCTCCACTACATTTTCATTCCCCTGATGCAACAGATGAAATGAAGAGAAAGGATATGTCAATACACAGAGTTAATCTTGGGTCAGACTTCCCTCTCTTGGAGAGACAGGCAAATTGCCAGGGACAGTCTGCCATTTGCTAATTGTGGTTTTCCTCTCTAGATTGTTGGCGATGCGGTTGGCTGGGGATTTGTGGTACGAGGAAGTAAGCCATGCCACATCCAGGCTGTGGACCCCAGTGGACCTGCAGCTGCAGCAGGGATGAAGGTACCATTCATCATCTCCCTGCTCACCTGTCTGCTGTGGCTTCTTCAGAGAGCATTTATTGATTGTGATTTTTTTTTTTTAATTTCCACATTTCTTTATTTTCTCCTCCCATCAGAAAGAGTCAAATCTGTAGGACATAGTATCCTCAATTAGGCAAATCATCCAATCAGGAGTCAGTTTTTACCTCCACAACAGTCATGCCTCTATTGTGCCAATAGGCTCATCACGCTTAGTAGACTGGTATTATAGTGTCTACCTCTGGGTAGTGTAGTGATAACTTTTCTCCTCAGTTCCAGCTTGATTTCTCTATGTCCTACAAACCAAGCAATCTTCAGCAATCACACTTGCTATCTATAGTAGCCAAGATCAATGTCAATAACCTGTGTTCTTTTAGGGGCCTCCCTGACTAATAACTCATTGGGAAATATCCCGTGCGTGGAGCTGAGGTTTTCATTCAACGGAATGCATTCTAGTGGAAGCATTGCACACAGATGCAGGGAACCTGTTTGTTAATGCACCTCACATCCCTTCTTTCCCTGGTTCTCCCCACTTGATCCCTGCTTAAATCTGTAACTCACAGATTTTCCGTTTTTAAGCATCTTTATCCAGCACAGTTTTGATCCATCCTCTGTGAACATTTCACAGAGGATGTTGCTCTTGGATGATCTAGTACGATGAGAGGATTCAAAAGACTGGAAAGTTCCATCATGCCTTCCATACTTTCATCCAGTGCTCCCGTCCTCTCTCATCACGTCCCTGCCTAGTGCTGTAAACCAGGACAGCAGTGGCAACATGTCTATCTCCACCTGCCTGAACTCTGGGGCTCTGGCATTGGTTTGCACACTTTGAAAGGGGGGAGGGGACAGCTAAGCTTGGCTCAGAGAAGTGGAGAGCATCATATCACCTACTGCCCCAGTATTATACTCTGACCCTTCCCCCTCCCCCGTCTGAAGAACATCTCACCACATCCTGTGCTCCAAATGATGCCAGTCTCCTTGGCTAAAGTAGCTAAGGTAGCGTCCCTTCCTATTGGATACTGAACCCAAGGAGCTTAGTGGGAGAGTTGCCTAGGATTCTGAAGAGCACAGGCCCTTGTTACCCAGCTCAGGCGGAGTTTTTCATTTTCTAAGGAACTTTTGGCTAAAAGAGCGATTTCATATTGTACTTCCACAATGACTACCCAGGAAAAATTATTTTTGGCTTGCTCCTTCACTTCTGAGCATGCGCTCTTTCACATGAGGACGGATTTGCCTCAAAAGACTTTTCCTTTGAGGAGGAAAGCAATGGATTGAGTGTGGCTGAAGACCTTGTGCTGCCTAGCTAGCCAAGCAGACCAGGAAACTAATTGGTTTTAGTTTAATCTCTCATGGTGAAGTGTCAAAAAACCTTCCTGCACATTCACAACTGGCTAATTAGTTAACTCTTTATGTACCTGAAGAGTTGCTGTCCTAACTTTCCCTGTTTTTATTAACTAGTGGCTTATTTGGTTCATATCCCTCTCTTCTCTGGAGGTGTGTGATGGTCTTCATGTGCCACAGAGCAGTGCGGAAGTGTCAGAATTTTCTGCATCTGCACTGTACAGCATTCTAGTTCAGCAACACAGCCTGCCCTGAACATCTCTGCCCCAACACCTTCTGTCCTCTTCCTGGAAATCAACCAAACACCTTAAACACATTAGCTTATTCATGACTCTTCTAAATCAGTCGGGGGAGGAGTTTTAAGTTACAGTATCTGTTAGTTTATCATGTAGAAGAGATATCAGTGCTTGTCTTAAGCATGGGATGCAGGGAGTAGGATGAGGAAGACTGTGAGTTCAAGGCCAGCCTGTGCAACATAGTGGGACACTGATGGGAGAGAAGGTGGGTGGGGGACATAACAATCATGTAAGAAGGTAAGCTTGGCCACACTGCATGTATGTATGTATATGACTATATATACCTATATATACATATGTGTGTGTGTGTGTGTGTGTGTGTGTGTGTGTGTGTAGTCCACTGCATGTTAGTCTGATTTGGTTTGTTTATTTTTTAAACAAATGTCTCATGTATCCCAAACTGCTGTCAAACTCATGATCTTCTGGGTTTATAGGTGTGTAGCCCACTGCCAGCTTAGAGATCCTTTTTTGGTGGGGGAAGGGGGATTCGAGACAGGGTTTCTCTGTGTAACCTTGGCTGACCTGGAACTTGCTTTTTAGACCAGGCTGACCTCGAATTCATATCTGACTGACTTTGCCTCCTGAGTGCTGGGATTAAAGGTGTACACCATACATTTTAATTTTGCTGCTGATTACAGTGAAAATGGGGATGAATGCCACCCCTTCGTATAGATTAGCTATATAATATAATTTCCCAGAAATTATTTTGTGTATTTTCCCATCTAAAGCACTGAGTGAATTATCTATCCCCTATTAACATGTGTGTTGCTGCTGAGAATTTCACTTCTGTAATAAGCCATTGTAGGTGAGTGAGTAGAATGGCTCAGCGGGTAAAGACAGGGGCTTGCCTCCAAGCCCAGTGACCTGAGTTTGATCTCACTCACAGGGTGGCAAGAGAGACCCAGTTTTCACAAATCATTCTCAACCTCTCACAAGCTGTCTTCTGTTCCTGATACCCATGCTATGGCAAGTGTGAATTACACACAGATGAACACATAAATGTAAAACATTAAAGTGAATTATACAATCTGATATTTATAGCTTGTTTTCACTAAACTGTCATACCTTTGTTGGTTTCATATAGGAAGACTCGGGTTTCATTTATTGAGTATAAGACTTCAACAGGGTATCCTTGGAGAAGAATGTGTGGACCTGGGTATTTATTCACCTTGGTTGTGGGGTTTGAAATTTTCCAGTGTGACTTAAGATAGAGCTTAATGGTAGAACATTTGCCTAGCATGGGTGGTGCTTTAGGTTTAAGTCCACTGCTGGGTTGGGGGAGGGAGAATGGAAATGGAAGAGAGAGAGAAAGAAAGAGAGAGAGACAGAGAGAGAGAAATTACCTTGTGTTTGGGACAGATGCCTCTTAATTTTTAAAATTTTTGTTATTTTAATTGTTAATGTGTGTTTGCATGAGTATGTGGTGTGTCTGTGTGTGTGCACACGCACGTGAGCACTCACGCGCATGTGTGCAAGTGATGGTTGGTGATAATTATCAGCTTGATGAAATCTAGAATCACCTAGGGAGTATTAGTGTGAAACTGTTTAGATTGGGTTGGTCTTTGGGCATGTGTTTGGGGGATTGTGTTGATTGTATTATTTGAGGTGGAAACAGCTGTCTACTGTGGGTGGTACCGATCCCTAGGCAGGTGATTCTGAACTGTGTAAGAACAGAGAGAGCAAGCTGAACAGAACATATATGACTATATTTGCCAAGCTCCCTGCAGCTCCTTCTTTTGTGGACTGGCACCTGAAACTACAAGCCCAATTAAACCCTTTCTGTCCTACATTGCTTTTGTCAGAGTGTTTTATCACAACTGGAAAAGAAACTAAGGCAGTGTATGTGTCTAGAGAGGGTATGCGTGTGTGGTATCTTGAACATACATGTGTGTGTGGATGTGTGCCAAAGGAGGGCATTGGGTGCCTTCATTCTCTGCCCTCGTCCTGCTTTGCATCAAGGATAGCAGCCAGCAGATCTTCCTACCTCTGCTCCTCAGTAATGGACGTGTGGGTCACATAGAGCTTTGATGGGGGTGCTGGGATCTGAACTCTCTTTTTTCTGCTTATGCAGCAAATGAGATTTTCTGCTCAGCCATTTTTTTTTTTTTTTAAAGCTCCTTTTCTTTCGGTTTGTTTGTGACAGGTCTCTTGTGTCCCATGCTAGCTTTGAACTCTCTATGTAGCTAAGGGTGGCCTTGAACTCTTGATCTTCCCAAGTGCTGAAATTAAAGCCATTCCGCTCTGTTGTGATTTACATGGTACTGGGGATCAAACCCAGGACCTCGTATAAGTGAGACAGGTACTCTAGAACTGAGCTATATCCATGGCCCAAGATGTAAGTGTCCATCTTAACTTCACTGACCTCTCTACCTTAGGTTCTGGTTTGAATGCTCACTTCTGGACTTGTTATCAGGTGATGACTGACTGCTAGAAAAATGTCACCAGGCACTGTTCATGGGCCTTCGAAGCTTAAGTACTCCCCTGCTTCCAGCTGCAGCCTCTGCTTCCTGGTCTTTTTCCTTATAGACAGTGCACCGCCTTAGAGTCTTGCTACTCACCTTCCCCTGAGTGATAGACTAAGGGTTCCTGAAAGTTTGAGCCCAATTCAGCAAATCCTCCAGTAAGTGGTGTCCGTTAGGAATTTAACCACAGTGACTGGAGAGGTAAGTAGTACACCTTATGTCAGCTCTTCCTCTGTGTCTCTTTCTGTTTATGGGAATAAAGCGCTACTTCCAGTCATTGTGACTTTCCCATTCAGGAGAGTTTGTGCTCTGTCTCAGGGGCCACGTGGTTTTACTGCTTCAGATGCTTAGAGCAGAGGCAATTGCCCAAGCGTTTGGTGTTTACCATTTCTCTCTCCATTTGTTCACCTTGTTCCCGATATCAGAATGCTTTAGGGTGTGGGCCACCAGCAGGAGAATAGGTCTGGCCCCAGGCTGATGGCGATGGGTGCTCCCTCCCTCCCTTAATACCTCAAGATCTTTTTAGCCTACATCTATGAATTTGGAGCTGCTACAGGTTTGTAAAAGTTTGTTTATATGTTTTCTCTCCCTCCCTCCTCCTCTTTTATTTTCGACTGAAACAGGGTCTGATGTATTTCAGCCTGGCTTTGAACTTGCTATGTAGAGCAGGATGACCTGGATTCCACCATTTCCATTACAGCCCCGCCCAGTCCTGGGCTCACAGGGTTTGGGCTTAGGAGAGTCCATTCTCGGTTTGGGGTGCTTGTGAATTCTAGGCCAGCACCCTGCAGAGCACATCTCCAGGCCCACTTCCTTTGCCCTTCCCTAGCCACTTACACGAGGGAGCCAGTTCTCTGTGCCTTGCTGTTTTATAGACTACAGTC